TGTATCTTTTATTTGACTTAAGAAACTTTTTTTTCAGGGTTTCTGATTGATTGTTTTATTTTATTGAGCCTTTCCATATCTTTGTTTATCTTCTCGTTCACATCTTCTACTCCTTTTATTATTTAATTTTCTTTGTTTAATTCCAATGTTTATTGAAATCCTTTTTGAGTTGGTTGTTTCTGTTTCTTCTTGAGTTTTTAATCCCTATTCTCTTCAGATTTATTGAATTCTTCTGGTACATCCTCATTAAGCTCTAAACATTCTTGTTATCATTCTTCTGATCTCAGCAGCTGAGGATTCATCCCCTTCACTGTCCATCAAATCCTGTATTGTGCGATTGTTAACATTTTGAGTAGTCATATTCCCCTGCATTCTTTTATTCTCCATGTTTATATTTTGAGATTTGTTCATGTGTTGTTGATTAGTAAGATGGGGGGTTTTAATTACCTGTTATCTTTCCCTTGACTTAATTTCTGTGTGCTGGTTAGGTTAGCTGTTACCTAGATTGTTGTAATGTTCCTGTCCACTGAACTGGAGGTATAACTTAGCAATAACAAATTCATGAACTAAATGCCAAACCAGTTATTTACATAATATATAAAACCCTTGGTAGTATTATCTATAAACAGTTGGGGAAATGACAGCTGTTTCCATACACATTAATACTTAGGTAATAAAATGATGAGACTAGAAGAGGAGATGGGGAGGGGAAATGGGGAAAGGAGGAGAAGAGGTGTGTGGTGTGATATCTATGGCTTAATAAAGACCTAATGTGTGTAATATCAGATTTTTCAACAGAAACTTTAAAAGTGTAAAGAACATAGAATGAGGTATTTTGAGCACTGAAAAAAAATTCTTTTTTTTACACTTTATTTTTATTATTGCTGTACTGGAGGTACGTTGTGACAGTTACAAAATTTCTTATAATTTATTGGAGTTGAATTCACTCCCTCCATCATTCTTCTTTTTCCTCCTATCCCTATTCCTGGAATACTTTCAACAAGTCTCAGTTTTCCATTTACATACACATGTACAGAATATTTTCACCATATTCACTCTCTGGCCTGCTTTCCTTACATCCTTCCCCCTCTCACTTGTACCCACCCCTTAGGCAGAACCTGTTTTCCCTTCCTATTCACTGCATTTGTAGGAAGAAAAGGTATTTTGTTTACTTAAGATACCAATACTTGTATTGTGGACCAATACATCAAGAGGAAATAACAATTGTTAACCTATATGTGCCCACTGTTGGTGCATCTTATTTCATTCAATGTCCACTGCTGGACTGAAAAACACAGATAGTCCCCAACATAGTGATAATGGAAGACTTCAATACTCCACTATCACCAATAGATAAGTCATTCACATAAAACCATCAACAAGGACACTTTAGAATTGAATAACACCATAGATCAAGTAGATCTGACAGATATCTATGATGTATTCAATCCTGCAACAGAACAATATAACTTCTTCTCAGCATCCTGTGGAAATTTATCCAAAATAGATCATATTTTAGGTCACAAAGCAAGTCTTCACAAGTATAAGAAAGTTGAAAGCACCCTGTACACTGTCTGACCACAATAGGATAAACTAGACTCCAACAACAACAAAAAAAACAGCAAAAAATACTCAAATACCTGGAGACTGAATAGCACCTTACTCCATGATGAGTGGGTCATCAAAGAAATAAGGGAGTAAATAAAAAAGTTCCTAGAACTTAATGAAAATGAAAGCACAACCTACTAGAATGGGACACAGCAAAGGCAATGCTAAGAGGAAAGTTTATAGTAATGAATGCTTATATTTAAAACACAGAAAGATCTAAAATGAATGACATAATGTTGCATCTCAAACTTTTAGAAAAATAAGAACAAGCTAAATCCAAAACCAGAAGAAGTAGAGAGATAATATAAATATGTGACAAAATTAATAAAAAATATCAAATACATTACATCTGTGCAAGTAGACGGCATAGGAATATGTACTGAAAGCTGTTGAATAATTGGAGGAGGATGAGAGGAAAGAGGTAAGAGAGTAAGAGAAGGGGTTGAAATGAGCAAAGTAAAGTATATTCACAGGTGGAATATATGAAGAAACCCTTTTGAAATTTGACTTTAGAATTAAAAAAGAAAGAAAGTGGGTATGTACAGTAGGGGAGATACTTGTGAGACGGGGGATAGTGAATGGAGGAGATAAAGTAAGGGATTATGGTTGATGGGTTTCATATACATACATAAATAGAATGATGAAACATCTTGCAATTGCTTTTAATGGGGCAGGGAAGAGGCTTGGTGGGGGAGATGGAGTGGGCAATCTAACCAATGTACAATGTAAGGCTATTTGGAATTGGCACAATGATTTCTACTGTGCAATGAATATATGCTAATAAAATATTAAAAAATTAAAGAAGAAAACATCTTGATGTGCTGGCTTCAGCAACACATATACTAAAATTAGGATGATATAAAATATTAGTTTGGCTCCTAAGCAAAGATGACACTCAAATTTATGGAAATTCCAACTATTGTAGAAGAAGAGATAAAAGCTAAAGGCATAAAAAAACCCATATTCAATAATAGAGTAGCAGAAAAACTTCCTAAATTGTGAGAAAGAGATGGCCATTAAGGTACACAAGGCCTTTAGGATTCCAAACAGACAAGACCAGAAAAAAACTTCCCCATATGTTACTGAGGTTAAAACTTTAGGCATTTGGAACAAGGAAACAATATTGAAAATTACAAGAGAGAAATGCCTGCCAAGTCACCTACAAAAGTGAACCCTTCAGAATAACACGTTTCCCAACAGAAACATTAAAAGTAACAAGGGCATGGCAGGAGGGGAGAGATTGAGTAAGATGGTGGATTTTTGACATCATCCCTAAACTCCAGTGGCAACTAACTACCCTGAAAAAGGAAAATCAGGGGACTCCAAAGGACATCCATGGGGTCCCATAAACCGAAAGAAGTAAAAGTAAGGAGGGCATGGCATGATGTGTTTCAACCCCTGAAGGTAAATAACTGCCAACCTAGATTACTATTTCCAGTAAAGTTATCTTTCATTATAAAAGAAGAAATAAAAACCTTCCTGATAAACAAATCTAAAGCAATTCATGACCATTAAGCAAGGGATGCAGAAGATACTTAAGGAAATTCTACATGCAGAAGAAAAAGATAAATGCGTCAATGAAAGTACAGGAAAGAATAAATCTCACTATATGAGTAGGTAAACAAAGGATGAGAAAGGAAGAATCAAACACTACATTAATAACAAAATGAATGTTAATGGTCTTAGTGAAAGGCATGACTAGAGGTTTGAATTAAAAATCCAGACCAGATCATTTGTTGCCTACAAGAAATGAATGTCACTGGCAAAGAAAAACAAAGACTTAAGGTGAAAGGTATTGAAGATTTTCCAAGGAAATGGAACCAGAAAGCAAACATGACAAGCAGAGATCAAATCAAAACCATTCAAAAGAGACAAGAAACATCACTTAATACTGATAAAGAGAACAATCAATCAAATAGATGCAGTAATTGAAAAAATATTCACATTAGATGTTTGGCCACCCAATATCATAAAACAACTCTACTGTATGTAACTGCATGGATAGAACCAAACACAATATTATTGGGGAAATGAAGAAATGCTCAGTATTGAATGTTGAGTTTGTACCATTTAAAGAATATCTAATATTTGCTACTGAATTTTATATAATGCATTTTGCCCCATTCCAATTGGAGTACACATTCCCTGAGAGAAAAATAATGTCATTATGACAAGACTTGGGACATTTGAGCCAGGGTAATAACTTAGCATGGATCTGAGGCTCAATGAGGCTATACTTAACTGAACAAGTGAGATAAATGTCGAAACCTGAATAATCAAAAATGTATGAAATATCTAAGAATCGATAAGCTGATAAAGGAAGGGAATGAGACTTTAGCAGGTAAAACTCAAAGAGAGAGAGATAGAGGGAAGGAGAGAGGGGGAAGGAGATAGAGAGGGATGGGGAAGGAGAGAGAAAGAGAGAGAGAGAGAGAGAAGACAGAGCAGACTGGCAGAAGTGAGTTCATAGGTGTATAAACTAACAGACTTTCACAGCTAAATAGTATGGTAACAAGCAATGTAGTACAATTGCATCTGATGCACATGCTTCATCAGTCACACCTCCTCATATTGGTTTACAGGACATATCCATGTATTTTGAATATTGAATAAATGAATTAAATTCAAGCAATTTACTAATTATGTAACATCAATAAGATGAAAGTCTAAAAACTTGTTACATTTCATCTTGCTTATGTATAATCATAGAAGATGAACAACTAGATTTCCTTTACAGAATTCAAATGTTTTGTATTATTCGTTTTTTAAGCAATTATATCCTAACTCTAAATAGTTCTTTGTTTAAAAAAAACTACTGTCCCACTTAGAGTGATGATGGCATCTCCATCACCCTGTAAATGTTAATGATGTTTTTCTCTTGTTCCAACAGAACAAGAGAGCATTGGGTTAAAAGAAATTTTTTTATTTATTCATTGTGCATACATTGTTTGGGCCATTTCTCCCTGCTAGCCCGTCCCCTCCCTCTCCCCCTCCCACCTCCCTTTGCTTCCAGGCAGAACCTCTTCTGCCCTTATCTCTAATTTTGCTGAAGAGAAAACACAAGCACTAATGAAAAAGACAAAGCGTTTTTGCTAGTTGAGATAAGGATAGCGATACAGAGAGATTCCTAGCATTGCTTCCATGTACAAATGTGTTACAACCCAAGTTGATTCATCTCTAACGGACCTTCTCACTAGTTCCTGATCCCCTTCTCATATTGACCTCTGTTGCTTTAAGGTTTCTGTATTAGTTCCTCTGCAGTGGGGACATCAAACACTTTCATGTT